TGGCCAGAAATCTCCAAAAACTGTCATGTTGGCCAGAAAAAGGCAAGGAAGTGCTTCAGATTGAAGGAACTAAAGACATAAAATGTAAATGTGATGTGTGATTTGGAACGTGAACTTTATAACACCTCATTGAGACAACTGATGAAAGCTGACTCGGGTCTAAGGATTAGAGTGTAAATTCCCATGTCTGAAGACTAATTTTGGTTATAGAGTGAGAATGTATTATGTGTAAAATCGTCCACGTGCTGCCTTGGAGTTCTTGACAAGGACAGTGCTTATGGGCACAGACAGACACCCAGGAGTTTCCTGCTCCCCTGTCCTATGCAGCTGCTCTCAGTTGTTACGTCAGGCACTTAGAGAAGGCAACATATCTATTTTATAGTTTGTTGGGTTTCCCCGCCCCCATTGGAATCTCTCTGAAAATAAGTAAGTGGGGGCATTTATATGTGTTTCTAAATTGTAACAATGATGTAATAAGTTAATGCTAAAAATAGTTAGAATCTTCATTTTTTTCCTTCCTGGAGATATTCTTTTTCTGTACAAACATGCAATGCATACTCTATAGTCAGAAACCTCTGAAAGACCCTAAATAATTTTATTTTAGCATTTTTCCCAAAACTTTATGTGAAAAAAAATAGTTATAAGAAAATAAGAAAGGAATACTTTTTATTCTTTTTTATTAAGCCAGTTGTTAATTTTTTTCAATGTACCAACTTCTACTAAACTTTTTTTTCTAAGAAGGAGAATAAGAAATTCCTATTCTTCAGATCGGTTTTCAGTAGGAACCCTATCCTCAAATTATATTATATTATATAATATATAATATATTTACTATAAGGCAATAATAGGCATTACAAACTCCTAAGATTATCTAAAAACGAAAGCTAAAATTAAGTTTTCCCAAGATTTTATTTAGTAGCTTCTAACCCTAGAAAAACAGTGTAATTATGATTAATTTCTTTCCAAAGAGCCTAGAAAATGTTCTTATTTTCTCAGATACAGAATTTACTAAGTTTTTATATTGAAAAAAATAAAACATATAAAATAATGCACAAAGTTCTTTTTCTTTCTTTTTAAAGATGAAATCAAATAAAGGATAAAAATTTCCAGTTACATTATCTAGTACCTTGGTATTGCTTAGGGAGCAGAACATTTTACTACATAAATTATGATTCATGATTCAGAATTGACAACTACTAAAACATGTCATAGAGACCTGGTTATTAATAATCTAATAAGCTGTCTCAAAATGAGTTAGCTGAGGCAAAGAAAGAGAACACAATTGTGAATATGGATTTAAACACTTGAATTCTTCCAGTGCTCCATGGATAGTAACTTAAACTGCATAATCTACTGATGCATAATCATCAGACATTAAAGAGGGCACATTGCAGCAATTCATTGTAACTCTAGTGATCTTAAAGAATTAAGACCACATTCATAAAGTCTATATTCGTCTCCAAGGAGTAGCTTTGAGTTGGAGAATATCTGGATCATTAAGTAATTTCCTTAGGTCAAAGTGAAAGCACTTTATCTCTGAATATTACTTCCATGGCATATTGGATATAGCAGGAGTTGGTAACAGAGTGACCTTTCTCTTAAACAATTCATAGATTCACTAGAATTTTCTTCAACTTAAGAAATTAAATGCACTCCATAGTGTTATAAGTCTTAAATATTGATTTTCCTCTAAAATCTCCAACTGTTTTTATCACCACCATTCTCTCTTTGTACACTTATGTTCCATGTAATGTTAACTTCACTTCATTTCATTGCAGGTTATTTGAATACCATGATTTCAGGTTTCTAATACATTACTGACACATTGACATTTGTATGAGACACTTCATTCCACTGATACTTCATGTTCTCTTTTGTATTACAAAATAAGCTATTTCACTGTATGCATTTTTCAATTGATTGTTTCTTCCCTTTTAAGAAAATGAAATCGCCACATTCTTGATAGTTACAAAATTATTTCATAAGAAATGCCTCAAACACAGACACCTAGAGCAGACAGTGAGATGTGCTGCAACCACAGATAGCTAACATTGTGAATTTAACAGGGAGAGTTCCATCCAGTCTCGACAACAGTAATTATTTAAATATTCCCAGAAAATAATAAGAGGAAGCATTGTCTAGATTGTTTGGTGCTGGGTGGTAGGTAGGAAAATAGAGAAAATATAAACTTTTCTTTGCTTATTAGAGCAGGGAACCATTTCCACTGGGTAATATGGGCATACTTGAGAATGGAATTCAAGAACTCTTGGTATATACAGTAACTACAAGTTCTGGATACACAATAGTTGTTGGTAAGCTTTAAATTAGTCATGGAAAAAGAGAAGCAGCAGATGCCACAACTCAAGGTGGCTCTCCAGTGTTTGGGGGGCTTATATATATGGGGGATTATGAAAAAAGGCAACAATGCACAGTACGTATTCTACTTTTAACATTTAATTCATAGGTGGTGCTTGTACCTCTGTATTCATTTGAAAAGAGCACCTTATGTAAATGTATTTCAAGAATACCCAGGCTAAGCTACAATATGTAAATAGGTTGAGGTCCAAAAGAAATACTCCTGCTATAAAAAAAAAAAATGAATACACCTCAGGGACTCTCACCATCATGTATATCCATAAAACTGGGATCTTAATTTTAATGTTATACTCCATGTGTGTATAATATGTCAAAATAAAATCTACTGTCATATATATCTAAAAAGAACAAATAAAAAGAGAAAATAAAACAGAGAAAGTGGATAGGGTGGTGAAGGCCTATAATCTCAGCTGCTGCAAGACTGAGGCAGGAGGATCACAAATTCAAAGAAAGACAGGGAAACTTAGTGAGAACTTCTCTTACAATAAAGTGAAAATGGCTGGGGGTGCAGCTCAGAGGTAAAGGGCTTACTTGTGTAGGCGAGGAAGACCCTGGGTCCATCCCTACTACCATGGAGTGGGGAGGGATGTGTTGCAAACCAAGTTAAGATTTTACTGGAGTCTCTTGAGTAACCAATCGAAATTTCAGTAATGGCACAGGACAGCACACTTCACAGAGCCTCATTTTCTACAGACCTTTCCAATTTCTCATGATCTCATAGTATATGGTGTCAAACCCCCAAATTGCAAAAGCTGCATTCACTTTGCTTTCTCACTTACCTACCTTGCTCTTTATAATTCACATTGATTTCTCTCTCAGGCACTAGCTACAAATTTTCTAAATCAGGGCTTCAGCTTTTTCAGCCCTACACTTTATCCTAATCAACAAAAGACATAATTGTTTATCTAATGAGACAAAATTTCTAATACTGTAACAAGATGCGTGTGTTTGCATTAAGGATGTTGTTTTAGTAATAGAGTCACTTAGCATTCCAAACTCATGTCGATATTTCTAATTTATACAAAGTGGCTGGGTTAAACTACTTATCCACTGAATAGCTCTGCCTTCTTAAAAGCCTTTGTCTCAAAGTATATTACCCCTACTTTTCTCCCCTCTGTAAAATAAAGACACAATTAATAAAATAGTTCACTTCATTTCCTGAGATTATTTTCTAATACAGCATGCTTCTTCACTATTGCATTTCTAAATCTCCAGCAATCATAACACAGCAGAAAATGGACAACTCAAAATGTACCTGAAAATGAATGAGATCTGCAGCTTTTCCTTTGATTTCTTAGGTAAAGGAGAGAATATGGTCTCTGAATGCCTGATAAGGTCATACATACAATTTCAAGTGCATTTGTTGTAAATATATGTGACAAGTTCTACAGCCACTAACTTGTTTCTGCCCTAAGGCAGTGTGTGCAATCTTCACTGCATGTCCTGAGTGGGTTGTAGGGGAGTGGTAGCCCTTTGAGACATTAGGAAATATTAGCAATGGCTCAATACAAGTTTCAAGTTTAACCTATGTGCAAACAATAGCTTTATCTTCCAAATGTGATAGGAAGTTCCAAAAGATAATTTCTTTAATCAGGAATATTAAATGGAAACTTTGTCTCTTTTCTTTTTTTCTCGATCTTCTTTTTGATTATAAAAATTTTAAACATTCAGAAACTGAAAAAAAAATGTTTTGTGAATGCTTGTGATTGGAACTAGAAGTGATAGGAACTAGAATACAAGAAGAATTGGCAGTAGTGACTGAGGAGTAAGAATTTTAATTAAAAATTTCCA